CAGAACTCAGGAGACTGAGTCAGAAGGGTCGTGAGTTTGAGGCCAGCCTGGGCTACATAACAAGTTCAAGAATAGCTTTGCCTACATGGCAAGACCCTATAAAAACAAACAAACAAGCAAACAAGACCGAAGGGAGGAGAGGAAGAAGGGGGAAGGGAAAAGGAAAGCGAGAGAATGAAAAGTAAGTTACAGACAGGGAGAAAATATTTGCAAATTTTATGTCTAGAGTAGGTAAATAACTCAACAAGAAGCAAAGAAATAAGCACAGAAACGAGGAGTCCAATTAAGAAGTGGGTAAAAGACATGAAGAGACCTTTCCCAAAGAAATATATGTGCTGGTGTATATACAGTGGCAGATAAGTAAGGAGAGCTCACTGTCATCAGCCCTTAGGAAAAAGAAAAAAACCACCTGAAATATCCCTACACTTCTATTAGGACAATTAAAGTAAAAATTATGACTACACCAAATACTGGTAAGGTTGCAGAGAAACTAGATCACACATACATTGCTGGTAGGGTTGGAAAATGGTGCAGTTAACTCAGAAAATAGTTTGATGAGTTTCTTAAAAGAATTAGACATAAACTCACTCTGACCAGCAATTACCCTACTGGGTATTTATCTAGAACAAAGGAAAACTATAGTCTCACAAAAACTATACACAGTGCGTTCACAGCAGCAGTTTTTATAAAAGCTAAAATGTGGAAATAATTCAAAGGTCTGTCACCTGATGAATCGATATGTGCCATGGAATATTATTTAGCCATTAAAAGGAATGAAGTACTGATACATGCTGCAACATGGATATACCTCAAAACAGAAGGGAAAGCCAGTCATGAAAAAATGTATAATTCTGTTAATAAGAAATGTGCACAGTAGGCAAATTCATAAAGACAGAAAGTAGTATTGTTGCTAGGGGCTAGAAGGAGTTCAAGTGACTACTTGGTACAGGGTTTGACTGTGGTAATAAAACATTTTGAAATTAGTAGTGATGGTTGCACAACTCTGAATACATTGAAGACTAGTATATTGTACTTTAAACAGGGAAACTGATTTGGTATATGAGTTATCTCAAGTTTAAAAATTGGATTTATACTTATTATATTCTTATGGTGCAGTGGAAAACTTGGGGTATTTATTTCTACCGCACCTTGCTTTTGTAATGAATTGTCAGCAATCTCTAGATTGTCAGTCAAATCACTTGATATTTATTTTTCCTGGTAAATATAATTTTATTGCAGTACAATATACATGGCATAAAATTTACCATTTTATTCATTTTAAGTATACAATTTGATAAATATAGTTTTACTATGTGTATATATCTTTATAGCTTTCCATTTATAAAGTACTTGGTTTCTATAAATAGAATTAGTGGCTCTAGAAACATTGCAGTTAACTGGGTATGAGTTTAGAAAGGCTTGCATGGTAAACCGGTTCCTGCAGTGCCCTGTGCCTCCTGCTGCCTGAAGCAGCCATGTGTTATTCAGACCTTGCGTTCAATCCGTCTGCCCAAGCCCTGCGCAGGGGCACAGGGGTACTCCCCAGGCCAACTCGGATCCCTACCATGCCTCTGCCATCCTCCCTTCTCCACATGCCCTACACCTGCTTCTGGCTCCTCCACCTTCCTGCTTTCCCAGTGAAACTGATTTTTAGATGACAGCCTGAGGATCAGGGGAACCTGCAACAGGTTATGGTGTGAAATGTGGCCTTCCCTTTAGAGATGACCAGCTAATTGACCTACTCTACCTTTGTCATCTGGAAGGTAGTCTGCCCTGAGAACCTACTGGCAGAGAGCTGTGACTGCTAAAGAAACCACAAATGAGGAGAAGGGGGAGGGTAGCCTGGGCAGCTTCTCCTGCTCACTTTCTTTTTTTGTTTTGTTTTGTTTGTTTTGTTTTGTTTTTGGTACCGGAATCAAACTTGGGACTTGTGCTTGCAAGGCAGGCAGCAGAACCACTGAACTAAATCCCCAGCCCTTCTCCTGCTCACTTTCTAATACAGGGAATTTCTATGAAGTTATCTTTAAGCTGTTTTGTCATACTTTAGTGACTGAAATTTTGTTACAGATTCATCACATGCAGTTAGTAAATTTTAAAGTATATTCCAAGTAATTCATCCTGGCATAACAGTGTTAATGATCTTTTGTCCTGTGGTGCAAGGGATTGAGCCCAGGACCTCATCCATGCTAAGCATGTGCTCTGCCACTGAGTTATACTCTCAGCCTCAACATTTTTTTATCATATCACGAGCTTAATGACTTCATCTGTGTATCATTTTTCTCTATTTCAATTAAATATTTATTTTAAAAGATTTTTAATGAATACTTTTATTATTAACTTTAAAAAACAAGTTTAAGATAGCCATTCTTCTGCCAGAGAGTTGCTTTGCTGTTTAAAATATACATATATATAACTATTTATATGTAGTTATATTTTGGGGTACCTGGGATCAAACTCAGGTCCTTGCACTTGCCAGGCAGGTGCTCTGCCACTGAGCTAAATCCCTGGCTCTGCTGTTTAAATATATTTTAAAGGGACAGATATTTTAAAGAGAATATGTATCTTCTGTAACAAAATGAATCATATGCAAAAATGAACAATTACGAATTAATTATAGTGAGAACATATACTTGATGTTGAAAGTTCACTTTTTTTTTGAAACAGTGTCTCACTATGTAGCCCAGGCAGGCCTCGAACTTGCGGTGATCCTCATACCTCGCCCTCCCAAGTAATAAGATTATAGGCATGCACCACCTCATCCTGCTCTATGATACTACGTGTTTTATTAACACATAGCTATCATTAACTAAGAATCTAAATTAAAATATAAAATATAAAATATCCAACTTTAGCCAGTAGCATCCTTTAAATCAAAATTCAAATACCACTGAATTCAAACAGAACTTTACTAAGGCTGTATATATAGAACAGTATTTCTCAAAGAGAATTCCAGGAGAATGCTATTTTTCAGGAGACAGTGATTACTCCAAAAAGGGTTTCACATTTTCAACCTGAAAAAAGTTTGGTTTAACAAAGTGTTATAAGTACCTGTATGGGGCAGGGGATTTAGCTCAGTGGTGCCCTACCTGCCTCCCAAGTGCAGGGTCCTGAGTTTGATCCCCAGTACTGAAAAAATAAATAAATGAATAAAGTATAATAAGTACCTTTATTCAGAATTTCCGTATCCTCTAGCATATTACATTCCTACCAGCAATAGACAAGAGCCTATCTAGCCAAGCCACATACCATACAGCAGACCTAACTGACTGCAGAATCCCATTTTTATTGATTGGACTCTTCAGAACACGTTTAGGTCAGCTTCAAAAGTTTTGGGCAACTGTTGAATACTCTGTCACTATCTAGAAAGGGGAGTGGTTTTTGTTGTTTGGAGTTTTTTGTTTTTGTTGTGGTGGTAATGTTGGTGGTAGCAGTCATGGATCAAATCCCATGCCTCGCACACGCAAGGCAACTGGTCTACTATTACACTTCCAGCCTCTTGTTAATTTTTGTATCATGTACACAGAAGATCTTTTTATACTCATTTTTTGTCACTCTAAGTTATAGTCTGTTTTTTAATAAAGTAACTCTGGTATTAAAATCTTGGCTTAACAAATGTTTTAGCAAAAACAATAGAAGTTTATGGCTTTAACAATAACAATATTAATAACCACAGCAATATTACATTGCTAATGCATCAGGAACCTAGTCTGAGCATTGAAATCCTTGTAGGGTGCCATATATGCTCATTTTACTTCCTGCAGTAACACAAATAGCTGGGTACTGATCACTTTCCATATTACAGAAGGGAAGACATGGAGGCTAGGAATTAAGTGGCTTTCTTAAAATCTCACAGTATATAAAGGTAGAAACCAACAGTTTTCCCTTCCTATTTACAAGGGGCTTGAGTAAAGATCAGAGCTTTCTTTGTCTTAGAAACACAGTCAGATCCTCTAAGGTGAAAACCAGGTAAATAAAATCATACAGTGTTTTTGCTTTTGTGGTTCAGCTATATTCTATTAGGTAATTTTCCTTATTATATAAATAAATATGTTTCTTATCCCACTCAGGGATAGGAATAGTTTAACAACATTTTTTGATATGTTGATGGTGCACGAGCCATGTGTATTCAGTAGAAACTATACTTCAAATTATGATCTTTTCAAAGACTACAGATCAACCCAGGACAGTGGCATACACCTACAATCCCAGCACTGGGGAGGCTAAGGCAGTTGTGTTGAGAGTTCAAGATCAGACTAGATAATTTAGTGAGACCCTATCTCAAAGAAATAAACAAAAAAACAAATGACTATGGCTCCCAGTCAGCCATGTGATAACAGGAGGAAATAACTGATACTTTACAGTATACTGTGTTACTAAGCTATGTCATTCACTGTTTGGTAGGTTAGCATTTTAAACATACAATATTTTCAATTTACAGTGGGTTTATCAGGATATAACCCTATTGTACATAAGTTGAAGAACATCTGCTTGTCTGTTTTGGAAAAAAATACAGTAAATACATAATGTAATAGTAAATATAATCACCTCCAAGTCCTCCTCAGATAACCTCTAAAAATAGTTTTATATCTCCCAGTCTTCTTTTCCTTTGGCTTATTATATATAGGTGCGTGCGCGCGCACACACACACACACACACACACACACACACACACACACAAAGGCATTTTAATCTGTTGCCTACTTTTCCCTTAGCCCAGTGTCGAAAACATGTTTTTGTGTCCCTAAGTACATTTTCTACATGACAATTTGGGTAGTTAGATAATATTTCATTGTGTAGATGTACCGTATTTTGTTTTCTTGTACAGTTGGGTTTGCACATGTCTGGGTGCCTTCTGTCTTTCCCCTTTTTAGTTATCAATCATCTTTAATTATAGATTCTTAGCCTTGGGTCTATTAAGCATTCAACCAGCTTATTGACTGGGCACTTAATAGGTGATATAAAATGGTGAATACATTTGACAGTGTCTTTTCTTGTTCCAGGACACCAGGGCTTTTCAGTTTGCTTGACACTTTGTGGCCCCCAGTGATGCCTCTTAAAGGCTCTGCCTATAGCCAGCTCTGCAAAGAGGTAAGACCAACACTGGAAAGCTGCCTGGCCAAGGGCTGCCTCAAGCTGGTGCCCTCATGGAAACCCATACAGTCCATATCCCCACAGAGGCAACAAGGAGCCCCCTGCTGCTAGTTCCTTTGTCTGTAATAACTTGTGAGTATGAGCCAGAACTGTTTTGGGTTCTCCTGGTCTCATTAAGAGCAATACACACCGTACTCCTTGAGTGATTTTATGGGGCTTTTATTTTGGTTGTTGTTGTTGTTTTGGTAGTAGTAAGGATTGAACCCAGGATTTTGCACTGATCTACACCTCCAGCCCTCTTTTTTGATTTGGGTTCTAATTTTATTCAGAGACAAGGTCTCACTAAATTGTCCAGTTAAGCTTTGAACTTGCAATCCTGCCTCAGCCTCCAGACATGCAGAGATTACAGATGTGTGCCATCATGCCTGGCTTTATGATGAATTTTTCAACTACCATTGCAAAGGCCTTTGAAACAGTCAGAACCTTAGTCTCATACCAAACCAGTCACAGTGTCCCCACCCGCTTTCCAATCTAATAAATCAGTACTCAGTTACCACCAGAATAGCCAGGAATTTTCATTTTCCTGCCAAATCAAATTGTTTACTGTAGTGGCTCACAAGCAGCAAAACAGATTAAAAGATGTTCTCTTCTCCCTGTCTTGGGCCTTGTTAAGCAGGCTGACCAGTGGCAGATTGGGAGCTATGGCCTTAGCTCCAAAAGCTGAAAGTAAGAGGCTGCCTTCTTTGTGTAGCTGAAGTTTTAGTGAGTATACGTACAACCCTGTCCTATGCCACACAGAACAGTAGTTATCAAAAATGCCCATTTATAGGGGTTTGGGATGTAGTTCAGTGGTAGAGTACTTATCTAGCATGCACAAGAACCTGGGACCATCAATCCCCAGGACCATCCCCCTCAAAAAATGCCTATGTAATGCCCTACTTAATTAAGTAGTAATTTCTATATATTTTCAGTATACTCTGAAGAATGAATTTCTAAAATGAAGTCTTTTTTTTTAGGCTGGGGGTTGAAACTAGGGCCTCATACATGATGGGCAAGTGCTCTACCACTGAGCTACATCACAGCTCCTTTTAATTTTATTTGTTTTTTTATTTTTATTTTGAGATAGGGTTCATTAAGTTGCCCAGGCTGGGCTTGAATTTAGAATCCTCCTGCCTCAGCCTCTTGCGTAACTGGAATAATAAGGCATGTACCATTATGCCTAGCTTGAAATCTTAAATTGGCAATAAATTCAGAAACACAGAATTTCTTATGCTTGGTCTCAGAAGTAAACAACATGACCTTTGTCCTGCGTGACCTTCCAAAAGAAGCATGTTTCTACAAACATGTACATATGAAGAATAGATTTTGATAGTATATCTGAGACTTTTGACAACATTATCATGTTCTACCTTTGCTTTCATTTTAAACAGGTGAGAACTCACCTGCCTCCTCCTGCCTTCTGTTACATCTTCTCAGCTCATCCTAGTCTGGAACATATTGATATCATTGAAGAAGACCCCATGTCTAAGCTTTATCAGCCTCCAGTTCTCCACTCCTTAAGAGAAATTCTCCAGGTAACATCTTTGTTTCTAAAAAGTTCTTCAAGTACTTCTGCAGTGACGATGCGCTTTCAGGTTATCAATCATTCTCAATGTCTTTCCAGACTGACCATCTGGGTGTCCGGTGCAGTTTCTATGCCAGGGTGATTTATCAAAGACCACAGGTAATCTGTCCTCCTTGCCCGCCCTCCCTCATTCCCTCCCTCCTTCCTGCTTACACTAATTAAGGAAGATTGCAAGTTTGAGCCCAGCACAGGCAACTTAGTAAGTCCTTGTTTCAAAAATAAAAAGGACTGGGAATGTAGCTTGACCCATGCTGATGTTCTAATATATTCATTCCATTGTGAGTGTGGACTGCCAGACACTGTGCTCAGTACAGAGTATAAAATAACCCTTCAAAGATTCTTAGCCCCTTAACTTTGAGGGGGTGCATACTGGGGATTGAACTCTGGACCTTGCCCTTGTGAGGCAGGCACAGTGCCACTGAGCTAAATCCCCGGCCCTAGCCCCTTGACATTTGATCTTTTCTAACATATAGGCAGGTTGAAAGAAAGAAAGGTGCTGAAACTTTGTTCATGTAGTAAAAATGGAATACTCAGGCTTGGGCACAGTCACTTCTAGGAACTCTGAGAGCTCTCAATGACGGAAGCATCGCTGGAGTTGCTGTGAGGCCTTGGGAAGCTAGGGAGTAGTAACATAGATGAGCCTGCTGTTAAGTCAGCTAGGATTGGACAAGGGGAAGAGACATACTTGGCAATCTAAATGCATGAATTAGGTTCTGCAGGTCATACCTGCTGGGCCTCAGCTCCTAGAGGAGCATCCACATAAATCTACTTACCTGTGAGGAACAGGTTAGGTTCCTGCGCAGTACTGGGGGTTGAACCCAAGGACTTCCTACCAACCTACATCCCCAAGTCATATTTTGAGGCAAGGGCCCAAACTAGGTTTGAACTTATAATCTTCCTGCCTCAGCCTCTCCGAGTGCTCGAATTACAAGCATTTGCCACCATGTCTGGATTAGAATATCCTATTGTTAAGTCCTCGTGTGTTCATGACCGATATGCTCTGGTTCTGCTGTGGGGCAGATAAGACTGGGAGCCCCCTAAGCCCTGCCTCTAGGATCTATGAGGAAAGTAGACAGAGCCTTGGGTGTCTGCTACTTAGCGGGCTGCTTCAGTGTCACCTGCAGCCAGTCAGGTTGGAACACCAGGAAATTTCCCTTTGAGGAAGCTGGAGCCTGGGCAGGTGGCCTAGACTGGCCGCCCAGGCACCCAGCACAGCAGGACATAGGAACAGAGTTGGGTGACACCAGGAGCTGTTTTTTAACAAGCCTATATGTGGTTATCAAGATTTGACATCTATACCCCTGGCTTTTCTTTTTGCTAGTGCCATAGTCTAGCATGATTTCACTCCCACACAATGTGAATCTGTAAAACACATATGTGCTTTGTGTACAGCCACAGTTCAGCTACCTGGTTTGGGAGCCTTTCTTTTATAGGTTAGCTATCCTGAGTTATATTTTTCTTTATTCTTCTCTTTTCTTTTCTCTCTATCTCTTCCCTGCCCCCCACCCCAGGGATTGAACCCAGGCCCTTCACAATGAGCTACATCCCCTGCACTTTTTGGGGTTTTTTTTTTGTTGTTTTTTTTTTGTATTGGGGATAGAACTCAGGCCCTTGTGGTTGTGAGGCAGGCGGAGGAACCACTGACCCAAATCCCTGGCACCCCAGCACTTTTTAAAAAACATGTTTTAGAATCTTGCACAGTTGCCCAGTTGGCCAGGTTGTGCTGAAACTTGTAATCTTCCTGCCTCAGTCTCCCAGTGCAGACCATGCCCAGCTAGAGTTACTGGAGTTGGGCATCTCTATTTTGAACATGTTTTTACATTTCTCTGATCATCCATAGGCAATAAGAGATACAAAATAACTAAAACTGAGTCATTGATAAGTTGCAAGTATATAAATATCATTACAATTCTGTTATTCAAATAATTCTGTTATTCCAACTGTGATATTATCAGCTTATTCCTCATCTATGTCGTCAGTGGGCAAACTGATCCTGTGAAAGGCCAGATAATCAATATCTTAGGCTTCTCAGGCCATATTGTTTTTGTAGCGACTATTTAACTCTGCCTTGCAATGCAAAAGCTGCCATATCGTCTCTCATAAATCAGTAAGCAGGATTCTTTCAAAAGCATTTATTTATAGACACTGAATTCATATACTTTTCATGTGTTCAAAATATTCTCATGATTTCTTTCAACCATTTAAAAATGTAAAAACCTTAAATAAGTGTAAAAACGATACTTATTTTGCAGGCCATACATAGGTAGCAGGCCAGATTGCCACAGGTCATGGTTTCCTGACCCCAGGTCTATGAGTCATTCGTTCGGCCACCTTTGAGCTGTCCCAGCTCAGCAGGCAGGGTGTCAGGGCCAGTGAAGACGGGGATTGGATACAAGATGTATCTTACTTTTCAAATCTGAGACAAACTGAAGGCTGACTTCATGTTCCTCTGCACATCTGCAGAGTGCTAAGTATATGAAGACATGTCAGCATCAGGCACATTCCTGTTACTCTGCACATTCCTGTTACTCTACACATTCCAGGCTTCAAGGCAAGGCAGTTTCACTGAGCAGACTGCATTTACATTGCACATAGAATGTGGTATTCAGAGACTAGAGCAGCATTTGAACACTGTGACAACATATGCCCCTTCCTGCAGCCCACAGCTGAGACCAGAGGCTGAGAGTAAGAAAAACTGTCAAATGCTCACCTCCATTCTAGGCCAAGGAGAGCCCAAGGGCAAAAAAAAGACAGACGTTAAGGAATCCACCTCATTGGGTGGTGGATCCCTGACTAGGCACTGGGAAATGTGCGCTGATCACCCCTATATGAAAAACAGGCTCCCACCACACAGGTTCAGTGGGCGCTTGTGGCTGGGAGTTGGTGGTTCTATGGTCAGGAACCCAAAGTCAAGGACGTAGAACCCAAAGGAACAGATTCCTTAATCCACTAAAATCTGTTTGTCTCCTGCATTCTGCTCTTGTGGAAAACAGAATCACCAGAAACCAGCCTCAGGAGGAAGTGAAATAAGCCAAGTCCTGAGTCAGTCTATGGTTAAGTTGATTGCCCGCACACTCTGCAGTTAGGATGGCACTGTGAGTCACTGCCAGAACCTGAGTCACCAAAAGAGATCTGGTTGTATTTCCATTACACTAGTGACTAGGTCATGAAAGTGAAAGATTTTTTTCTTTTTTACTGAGATTATTTTAATTTACCTTTTTATTTTGAAGTAATTATAGATTCACAGTAGATTGCAAGAAATAAACAGGAAGGACCCTTTACCTACCCATGCTGCCATACCACACCTACAGTAATCACAGTATAAAAACAAGAAACTGACACTGCCACAATCCGTGGGACTGATTCAGATTTTATCAATTGTATGTATATCCGTGTGTGTATGTATGTATGTATGTGTTTGTGTGTGCTTTTGTGGTGTGTTTCTGTGCAGTTTGTCACACATATAGCTTTTCGTGATCATGAACACACTGCATAACCTGCTGTCATCATAGATCCCCTTTTTAGACACATCCATACTTTTCCCTGTCCCTGACCCTAGCAACCACTATGTTCTCCATCTTTGTCATTGTGTTATTTTATTTCTGTTACATGAATAGATAAAGTTCCAAACACTAGATTACTTTAAAAAAACACACATTTATTTATTCTCTCACACTTCAGGCCAGAAATCCGAAATCAAGATGTTGGCGGTGTTGCTCTCCCTTTAATGACCCTGGGGGAAGATCCTTCCTGCCTCCTTCAGCTTCTGCTATTTCTTGGCAATCATGGACATTTCCCAGCTCATAAACACATCACTCCATCACTCCTGGCCTTCTTCCTCCATGTGTGTCTGTGTCCAGAGTTCTCCGTTTTATAACACTAGTGATATTAAGTTAGAGCTTGTCCTAATGGCCTTATCTTAATAATTAAATCTGCAAAGAGTCTATTTCCAAATAGGTCACATACATACCCATATCCATATTTATTCCTATATTTTGTCTAACTAAAATCAAATTTTTTTCTTTTCTCCTTTTTATTAGTATATCTTTGCAATACATAATAAATATAATCATGGTGGAGAATTGGTGTATACATACATACTGCATCTTAATCTTTTTTTAATTCCCATTCCCCTCCCCTCCTTTACATCTCCTCTCATCCCCAGATCCTTTCCCCATCTCCATGTAATTTATGTTTCTTATAATCTATCTTTTTTCCTTTAAATTATTTATATTTTGAGTATCTCATATAAGATAAACCATGTACTATTTAAGCATTTATATGTAATTTATTTCACTCAGCATTATGGTTTCAAGGTGCATCCATTTTCCTACAAATGACTCACATTTATCCTTGTTTATAGGTGAATGGTACTCCATTGTGAATATATACCATTTCCTTTACCCATTCATCTGTTGTTGGACCTATAGGCTGTTTCCGAGATTTAGCTATTATGAGTTGTGCTGCTATAAACATAGGTATGCTTGTGTCACTGTAATATGATGTCTCTAACTCTTTTGGAAAGATATCCAGAAGAGGTATAGCTGGGTCTAATACAATTTCAATTTTGAGTTTTCTGAAGAATCTCCATTTTGTTCCATAGTGAGTGTACTAGTTTACATTCCCACCAGCAATGAGAGAAGGGTTCCTTTTTCCCCAAGACCTCACAGCATTTGTCATTTTTGACTTATTGATGATAGCCATTCTTGCTGCAGTAAGATAGAATCTCGGAGTTGTTTTGATTTGTATTTCTCTAATGGCCAAAGATACTGAAACTTTTTTTTAATGTACTTATTGGCCATTTATACTTCTTCTTTTGAGAAATGTATATTCATTTCAATTGCTCATCTTTTATTAGAACTTTTATTTGGAGGGGGGATAATTTTTTTAGTTCTTTATCCAGATATTACTTCTCTGTCCAAGATGTAGCTGGCAAAATTTTTTTCCATTCTATAGGTTTTCTCTTCACTGTGTTGGTTGTTTCCTTTGCTGCGCTGAAGCTTTTTGATTATTATCCCATGTGTTGATTCTTGGTGTTATTTCTTAAGCACTTGGGGTTCTGTTCAGAAAGTCCTTGCCTATGCCTGTGTCTTCAAGAGTTCTATTTTATCTTTCATCATATTGTTTTTGTTTTAATATCTAGGCCATTGATCCATTTTTATTTTATGTTAGTACAAGGTGAGAGATACAGGTCTAGATTCATTCTTCTACATGTAGATAATCAGTTTTCCCAATACCATTTGCTAAATAAAAAGGCTATCTTTTCTCCAGATTTATGTTTTCTGCTGAGTGTATCTGGAGCTGTTTCTGCATCTTCAGTTTTGTTCCACTGATCCACTTGCCTGTTTTTGTGCCAGTACAATGCTGTTTTTATCATTGTAGCTTTGTGATATACTTTAAAATCTGGGATTGTGGTGCCTCCTGCTTTGCTCTGGTTACCTAGGATTTCTTTTGTTATTCTAAGTCTCTTTTGATTCTACATATATTATAGGATATTTTTTCTAGTTCTATGAAGAGTACAGTTGGTATTTTGATTGGCATTGCATTAAATCTTTATGTCATTTTTGGTAATATGGCCATTTTGACAGTATTAGTTCTGCCTGTCCAGGAATAGTGAATAACTTCATTTTCTGATGTCCTTTTCAATCTCTTTTCAGAGTACTGTAGTTTTCATTATAGAATTCTTTTCATTTTTATTGCTATTTAATTTTTTAATCTATTGCAAATAGGATTGTTTTCATAATTTCCTTCTCAATTGATTCATTGTTGATATACAGGGTAGCACTGACTTGTGTGTTTATTTTCTACTTTATACCTTGCTGAATTTGTTTATTAAATTTTAGGGGTCTTTTGGTTTAATTTTTGCATCTTCTAGCATCATGTTTTCTGAATAAGGATAGTTGATATCTTCCTTTCCTATACATATCCCTTGTATGTCTTTCTCTTGTTTGATTGTTCTAGCTAAAGTTTTGAGTACTATATTGAACAGGAATGGTAACAGTGGACACCTTTGCTTTGTTCCTGATAAAATCGTGATTCTATACCAACACCTCCAACCACAGACCACTACCACAGAATTTACTATAGACTTTCCCTACTTCCATATGTATAATTCCCTGTCTAGCAGTGAAAAACCTGAGTCCATTTTCTTCAGTATTAATCAACCTCCAAACCACACAGGGTGCCTCCTCCACCCCAGCCCACTGCTCTCTACTATGTAATTTATCTTCTCTGCCTGATCCTATTGACCAGCCCTGTAGAATCCTCAGACTGACTGTACCATCTGTGACAGCAACACTACTGAACCTCAGCCAGCAAAACTCTCAAATCCCATCCAACTGACTGTTTTTGGCCCATTTGAATCTACTAAATCCTGAATGCTGGTCAAAGGCAGAGACAGAGTGCCAGTTTAATTGACTTGGAAAAGGATTATAACTTTTATAGATAAGAAAAAAATGAAAAATTTATAATAAAAGAAAAAGGACAAGAATAAAAACAAAAACTGTTGTAGATACAACAAATATATGACACCTGATCTATACCAAGGCCCTCTCTGTACAAAGCCTGAGGATGAGTGAGATCTATTTTTTTTTTTTTTTTTTTTTTTTTTTTTTTTTTTTTGTACTGGGGATTGATCTCTGAGGCAGGTACAGTGCCACTGAGCTAACTCCCCAGCCCAAGTGAGATCTATTCCTAACCCTCTGGAAACTTGCAACTACCCAGAGAGAAAAATGCAGGTGCCCAAGACAGGAAATAACACTAAGTATACAAATGTCACATCTGGTGGGAAAGAACAATGGATGCTACCTGAACAGGTCAGAGGAGAGCCCTGGTAGCAAAAGGAGGGCAGTGTCCAGCAAAGGACCCATTCAGCAAGTGCAAAGCCTGACATAACCATGTTAGTGACCAAGATGTGCAAATCCTACTATGTGTCTAACATATTTTCAAAATAATATCTTAAACTCTTAATCTTAATCCCCTAAGGCTGTTGCTTTTTAAAATTAATGTTGGATATAAGACAGTTAATAGTCTTTACTTTTAAATTGCAGATGAAGAGCCTGCTTCTTTTGGAGCAAAGGGAGATATGGCTGCTTGTGACTGACATCACCCTGCAAATGAAGAATCAGAGTGGCCCCTACCTCCCCAAAACCCTGCCTGTCTGTGTAGCCCCCTCATGTGTGCTGTGCCCGGAAATTCTGGAAGCACTCACCATGGCCACACCTCACAACATCTTCTTCAGGGATGCTCTCAGAGACCAGGGTGTGCTAGCCTCTTTTCAAGAGCTTTGATTGGGGTGACTGGTGCCCATGCAGTTGCTCTTGAAGCTTCCGGATGCCTCCATTTTGCTCAGCACTGCTGACATCTTCACAAAGCTCAGCATAGACCCAACCTACAGTGAAGAGAGGTCCATGTTATCAGCTTTGGGCTTTTGTTAACCCCTGTTATGACCACCTGGGCAAAGCCAGCATCCCCCTGGTGCTGGTAGGCCCTGTGGAGACACCACTGACCACTCTATGATCCTCTGTTAGTAGCACCCTGTGCTGGTGCAGAAACCACCTGAAGTCATAGTCTGGATGATTCCTTTTAAAAGCAAACCAAAAGCTAGAACTGTTTAAGTGTATAGGGATTAGGTTAGTTAGCTCCCTTTTTTAAGGGATCAAATTAAAATCCTACCTGTTACTTTTTGTACTTTATTGAGATAAAAATTCTATACTACAAAATTTACCCTTTCAAACTGAATTGAGTTCGGTATTTGTATGCTTTCCCATCTTAGCCCACTGAGGACTTTGGGATTTATTTCCACACAGCATGTGTCCCACTGGATGGGGCCTGGCTTTGGGAGCAGGTGACCCCACCCATGTACCTTTCCACCTTCATAACCTGAGGAAGGAGGCTTGTAAAGGAGACTGTCTTTACTGGCAGAAATCACATTTTTTTTTTTTTCATTGCTTCAATAATCTGAAGTGTCTGTTGCAGGTCGGATTGTTTGTGTTGAACGGACCGTCCTCTTACTTCAAAAACCCCATTTATGTGTGGCCTCTGGTGTGCACTCCTGTGAGCTGACTGGCCCAGTGACACTGGATGAACTGGACTCCCTCACCGCTGTCAACTCCATTTGTAGTGTGCAAGGTGGGCAGCCATCTCAATGGAAATGGTATTCATATTGTTTAACAGTGTGCTATTGTATATTCATTTACTTCATTACTCCACAACTTTTGTTGGATACCTAAATTCCAAACAGGATATACAGGAACAAAATGAGAAGAGGTTCTTGCCTCTTGGACTTAGAATCTTTATAGAAAGATATGTGTCTTAGTCACTTTCCTCATCACTGGGAAAAAATATCCAATACCTGCAATTTAAAGGAAGAAAGGTTTGTTTTGGCTCACAGTTTGTAGAGATTTCAATCCACAGTGTGCTGGCTCGAAGGCAGGACAGGAGTAGAGGGGCATTGCAGAGAAAAAGCTGCTCACCTCATGATGGCTGGGAAACCGAAAAGGGAGGAGCCCTGGAGGAAGATAGGCTCTTCCAAGTCACACCCCCAATGACACACCTTTTCTGACTAGGCCCCACCTCTTAACAACAAGCCAACTACAGTGCCCCATAATCCAGTCACCTTCCACAAGACCCCACCTCTGAGCACATGCGGCTTTGGAGGGACACCCCGTTATAATCCATAACATTACATTGGTCAGATAAGTGCAAAAACAACCGAAACTGCAGCATCTCTGGTGTTTTAGCTATTGATCAATTGATCCCTCACCATTTCTGGGAGATCAAAGAAGGCTTCTTGAAAGCCAGAGTCTGGAGCTGAGATCTAAAGAGTGGGACAGATTATATCAGGGATGGGGCAAGGAGATCTACAAAGGTGGCTAACGGGAGAGCTGCTAAGCAACGGTGCCCTGGAGTAGACAGAATAGGCAGCTGGGTGCAGGGAGGAATGGCGAGGAGGCCAGAAAGGCCAGCTGAGTCAGGTGTATGCTCTGCCATCTCCAGAGAGGGCATGGGTTGATTTCCATCCCTTCAGAGCAGATGGAAAGGCCAACACAGTAGTGGTAACAGCAGAGAAGTAAACCCACTGATGGATCTATTTAGAAGGGAAGTTGGTAGGTTGGGTGATGAACTGGGCCAAGAGGGAGCCGGGCAGAGACAGAGGGCATATGTAGCCACCTCTACATCTGGCTCAGATAAGAAGTGGTGGTATTGCTGTTTGCCAAAGTAGGATATGATGGACAAGGCAGCTTTGAGAGGATCATCGAGTTCTGCTTGGAGAGGTCAGGTATTCTTAATACATCTGAGATGTTTCAGTAGCTGCTTGCATATATGAGTCTGGAGCTGAAAATAATATTTTTCCCCCTTGAGTCAGTTTCTCACTGTGTAGTCCAGCCTATCCTTGAACTCATTATGTAGCCCAAGCTGGCCTCAAACTCATGATCCTCCTGCCTCAGCCTTCCAAATTCTGGGATTACAGGTGTGCAAAACCATACCTGGCTTCCTAATTAATATTTTTATAGTTAAAAAACAGAAAGCATTTCTTCTTTTTTTCATTGAGTTTATTGGTACTTTTTAGGTATACAGTACAGTTACATTCATAATTTGGATCTTGTAACTTTACATGACAGGTGTTGGTTCTCATTTTTCCCCTTATCCCTGCCCTCCCTTCACCCGCTCCACCCTTCCCTATTTACAAAAACTTTGTTTCCATTATTTTGCTTTCTCATATTTTTTCTCTTCCCTTATTTCCTTTCCCTACCCTTCCCATTTCCTCTACACCTTTAGCCCTTTTCAAAATAAAGCATTTCTAAGTGTGGTGATACAAGGCTGTAATCCCAGCTCTTAGGAGGCTGAGGCAGGAGGATCACAAACTCAAGGCTACTGTGACAACTTACTGAGACCCTGTATCAAATTGGGATGTAGCTCAGCAGTAGAGTGCTCACCTAGTTTCTGTGAATCTCTGAATTCAATTCCTAGCCCATAAAAGAAAAAATGTTTTCAGTATATTTACAGAACTGTCCAGCCATCACTACAATCTAACACTGGAACAGAGGGAAACCCAAACCCCCTATCACTCACTCCCCAAACCCCCACCCTTCTACCCCCTGGTCTTCAGAGACTGCAGTTTCTGTCTCCTTTCTGTTTCTATGAATTTGCCTATCCTGGGCCTTTCATATGTATAGAATCATACAATATGTGGTTTTTCTTTCTCTTTTTGTTTTCTGGTACGAGGGATCAAACTCAGAACCATGTGCTTGTGAGGCAGGCATGGTGCCACTGAGTGAAATCCCCAGCCCAATATGTGGTTTTTCTTGATTGGGATCTGACTTGGCATAATGCTTTCAACATTCATCCATGTAGCTTTTATCAAGATCTGGTACCTTTTATGGCAGAAAAATAATTCATTGTATAGATACGCCATGTTTTGTTTATTCTTTCATCAGTTGATGGACATCTAGGTTGTTTCCACTCTTAACTCTTAGCAAAGAGCTGCTTCTTGTGTACTGGAGTGGAGCTGCTGTGAATAATCATGGGAAAGTTTTTGCTTGAACACCTCTTTTAAAGTCTGGGAAATGTACCCAAGAGTGAAATTGCTGGTTCATGTAGTAACCCTGCATTTAACCATTTTGAAGATTGCTGAAGTATTTTCCACAGTGGCTACATTATGGATCTGTGTATCTTTAACAATAAAAATTGTAGCTAAATTACTTTCAACAGTATATAAAATGTCAAACTTCTAAAACAAAATGTCAAATTAGAGGTCTCATTTTCCCCACTACTACTACTACTACTACTAATTTCCCCATTTTTTATTGTTTGATTTTTTTATTTTTTGAGACAAGTTGCCAAGGGTTGACAATCCTCAAATTGACAATCCTCCAGCCTCAGCCTCCCAAGTAGCCTGGGATTACAGGTGTGTGCCACCACACTGAGCTCCTCATTCTTTTCATAATTTTTTTTTCTTTTTCTTTGGTATCGGGGATAGAACTTGGGACATTGTGCTTGCAAGTCAAGAGGCAGAAACACTGAGCAAAATCCCCAGCCCCTCTTTTTATAATCTTTATCAACAACAAAAATTGTGATCCTTCTGTCTCTTGTTGCTTTAAATAAATATGCCCTGCTTTGTGAGATTGAGTACTTCTTGGTTGTGGGGAGGCCATTTGGATCTTCTCTTTTCAGTTTCTCCCTTTGATGCTGGTGATGAAACACAAATGTCGTCATGAGTTGATGAGGAAAAGGAGGGTGGTGAATGCAGAGGTCCTGGAGACAGCTGGCTCCACCTAAAAGCCACAAGTCACATGAGGCCTCCATTTTCCCATCTGTAAAATAGGGATATGAGAGTCAGCCTTAAAGCATTGTTAAGAATTAACTGAAATAATACACACAATACCTTGGGGGCAAGAAGCACAGTCTAGTGGAGAAAATAAAAAGCTCAATACTTCTGCCAGGAAGGGAGGGACAGACATCACAGGTTCAGAGCCAGGCATCACAGTAGCCTTGGGTTGTCTGGATTTGTCAGGAAGAGTTGGCACAGGCCTTCCAGGCAGGTGGAAGAGCATGAAGAAAATCATGGGACCCCAGTAGTACTGGGGCAGTTGTAAAACCTCCATGTAGGCTGGGGATTTACCTCAGTGGCACTGTGCCTGCCTCACAAGTGCAAGGTCCTGAGTTCAATCCCTGGAACTCCATAAAACAAAACAAAACCTCCATGTGCTGGGGTAGAGGCAGGGACAGTGAAAGTTGAGGTGGGGAGGCCCATTTGGACCAGGCTGGGACCAAGTTTGTGCTGTTTTGTTCTGCTTTCCCTCACCTGTGCTGGAGTTGTATGATCAAATTTTTATACAAAGCAATTTCAGCAGGCAATATATAGAATACAGTGCAAAGCAGGGAGAGACTATTCACAGAAAGAGGTAAGAAGGACAGAGGGCTTTTGAGGTCAAGTGGAACAGGGTCATCAGCAAGCCACCAAAGAGCTGTTCCTTGTGTACAGCTGCTTAGTGCCTGTGAACTGTACAGTGGGGTGGTGCAACTTGGATCCCTTGAGCAGACAGGCCAGGAGTACAGAGCTCATGGTGCTGACAGACCCAGTCTGCCATCCCCTCAGTGGACAAACTATCAGGACTGAGGTTGTTGCAGAGAGGTGGCGCCCAGGTTCCTGAGCCAACAGCGTAGGAGGCCAGATCCCACAGCAGAGAGGTCCACACTTCCCGGTTCCCTGAACATGTGTGATGTGCATGTACCATTAGCACTGGCCCACAGCTCCTCCCTTTCTGGGCTCTCTATTCTGTTCAGTTTATCTATCTATTCTTTGGCCAATACTGTGCATGCTTTCTTGATTACTGTAGCTCTGTTATATGTCCTGAAGTTTGGGTAGTGTAAGTCCTCCAAGTTTTGTTTTACAGTATCACATAGGCTATTCTGGCCTTTTGCCTTTCCTTATAAACTGTAGAATCAATTTGTTGATAATCCACAAAATAGCTTTGCTTGGATTCTGATTGGGATTACATTCAGTCTGTAGGTGAAACTGAAAAAAAACTGACATCTTAACACTATTTAGTGTTCTTATCCTTGAGCATGGAATATCTCTTTTTTATCATTTTTTTTTATTCAGGGTACTGCTGTTCACAAACTTGATTCTTTCCACAATTCTGGTCACGAACCGAGTTGGATGAGAACCACATCAAATTCAATGGTATGCTGACCTGATGGGGAAATTTGAGGTGGTTCTCATCCAGCTGAGTTTGTGATCAGACTCATGGAAAGAATCAGGTTCGTGAACTGAGGTACCACTGTATCTTCTGTGATTTCTTTTAGCAGATTTTTTATCTTTGCATGCTAAATATACCTTTTGTTTCCTTTTCTTCTTTTATTGTACTAGCTAAGACTTTCAGTACTATGTAGAATAGCAGTGATGAAGAGGATTCTTGCCCTGTTCCTGATCTTAAGTGAATACCATGTAGTTTCTCACCTTAAATATGATGTTAATTGTAGGGATTTTGTTCCATCTACTAAAGGTAGTATCTCTTAGGAAGAAAAAAAATAGTAACTCTCCTGTACTTCTTTGACTGCACTCTTCTTTTCCATTTAATTACCTTTGCTTCTGTACTCTGTATTAAAATTAATAGCATTTTGTTTTATAACCATAATTTGCATACTTTGTCTACAAGTTGATTCTTAAAGGTAAAAATCAGTAAATTATAATTATATAAATATTTTTCATAGTAAAATACTGTGCCACAGTTCTATTTTACTTTTTTATATTATCTTTTTCATGAAGTTTTATGTTGACCTTCATTTTCTTTGCATTGCCTGAACAGCAACTAATTGTTTTCTAAATCCTTGACAATCACATCAAACCACTGAGTTATCCTTTCCTTCTGTAATGTTTCTCTTGAAAATTCTGTCCTTCTTATTCCCCCTCTCCCTCATCCTGGGCATTGAACCCAGAGGCTCATGCATACCAGGCAAGTGCTCTACCACTGTGCCACATCCCCAGCTGTGATCTGCTTTTGATTTACTGCTCTACTCTCAGCTGTTGTCGTGGAACTCCGCTAGCTTTGTTCAAACTATAGATTTTTTTTGTAGATGATCTATACCAAGCTGAAGAAGCTCTCCTTATTCCTAGTTTGCTGAGAGTTTTTACCATAAGTTTTGGATTTTATCAAAGGGCCTTTTGACAGCTATCAATCTAATATATAGTTTTACTAAAAATTATATATTAATATGGTAAATTACATTAATTGATTTTTGAATGGTTGAACTGGTTTTGCATGTTTGGAATAAATCCCAATTGATAGTGTATAATCATTTTACATATTGCATTAAATTTGCTATTATTTTAGATAGTTGAATCAGATTTATTAGTGGATTCAGCAATAATGGCCTTTCTTTTATTTCTGCTATTACTAATTTATATCTTCTCCTTTTTGCTTAACCTAGTTGAAGTTTATTAGTTTTTATTAATTTTTTTCAAAGGACCAGATTTGGGGGTTTCTTAATTTTTGTATTTTCTGTATTAATTTTCTTTCCCATTTCTTTGATTCCTGCTGTTTTTTTCGCTATTGCTTTTATTCTTCTTACTTCACTTAAATTTACTCTTTTGTTTCCTAAAATGAAAACTTGATTTATTTTAGATCTACATTTCTAACATATGCATTTAATGCTATAAATTTCCTCTAAGCACTGCTTTTGCTGCATATTATCCAAATGTTGATACATTTTTATTTTCATTTTAGCTCAAAATATTTTTTAATTTTTCTTGAGAGCTCGCCAAATATTTGGGGGCTTTCCGGCTATCTTTCTTTTATTGATTTCTAGTTTTAATTTTTCTGTGGTCTAAGAGCATATTTCAGATTTGTTAAAGGTGTGTTTTGTGGCTAATGATGTGGCCTTTTTTGGTTAGTGTTCTGTGTGACTTGAGAAGAATGTGCATTCTGTCCAGGCATGGTGTTTCATGCCTGTAATTCAAGTGTTGAGGAGAATAAGACAGAAGGAGCACAAGTTTGAGGCTAGTCTGAGCTACACTGTAAAACCCTGCCTATAAATACATAAATAATGAGAGGAATGTACATTCTGCTGTTGTTGAATGGAGGTTTTGGTAATATTAATTAAATCCTATTGATTGATGGTGCTGTCAGTTCAACTCTACTCATCAATTTTCTGCTAGATATGTCAACTACTGATAGAGGGGTATAGAAATCTCCAACTATCATAGTGAATTTATTTTTCTCTTCTCAAAGTTCTATCAGTTTGCCTTATGTATTTGGATACTCTGTTGTTAAGCACATACATGTTAAGGATAATTGTCTTCACAGTGCATTGGACTCGATGGTTGTTTAGTTTTTGTTTTTGCAATACTGGGGATTGAACCCAAGGCCTTTGCACTGACCTACATCTGTAGCCCTTTTCATTTTTTGAGATATGGTCTTGCTAAGTTACTGACTTGCCCAGGTTAGACTTGAACTTACCAATCTTCTGCCTCAGCCTCCCAGAATTACAGGCATGCACCATCATGCTTTTTCTCTTTCTTTCTTTTTTTCTTTTTTTCATTTTAATTGAGAATTCTGTATGATTCCATTTTCTCAGTGTATCAAATATACTTACTTTTAAATTTTTCCTGGTGGTTGCCCTAGAGTTTGCAGTGTGTATTTATAGTTATGAGGTCTACTTCCAGATAGCCCTGTCTTGCTTCTCAGGTAATGCAGACACCTTATAAGAGTGTTTCTGATTCCTTCTCCTATCCCTTATGACACTGTTATTCACTTCACTTATCTACAAGGAAAATTTGTTAACTCATCATTGTTGTTATATAAGCAAGCTATTAGATTAATAATGGATTGTGGGTCAATTTAGACTAAGAAATATAAAAGTTTTTGGTTGCTTGGTTGGGTTTTTTAAAAGAGATGCATCTGGATATGTTGCCCAGGCTGGCCTTAAACTCCTGGGCTCCTGGGCTCTTTCCTCAGCCTCCCCAGGAAACTGAGATTACAGGCACATGTGCGCCACCATGCCCAGCCAAAATATAAAAGATTTTTCTTTACTTTCACATATTCTTTCCCTAATGCTCTTCCTTTTTTCAGTAGGTCTGAGATTTTTCTCCCATGTTGCCATTTTTTATGTAGCACTCCCTGCAAGAATCCTCTGCTTCCAGGCTTGCTCTGAAACTGCCCTGCATTTCTGTGGGTGGATATGTGAGTTGTGTAAACAGACTATTATCACAGAGAAGGACTGACTGCTGTATGATCCTGGGGATCCCCAGGAATCCACAATAAGAACCAGTAAATGGGCATAAAGGGAAAGCAAAGCCCTAGCTGCAAAGTAGCATTGATTAGTTAAAAACCTGCCTCAAATGCAGCCCTCAGGGTGACCAGCTCCAATGAGGTGTCCTCCCGTACACAATGGCCTGAGGGGGGATCCCCAGGACAAGCTGGAGTCCATACTGCTCGTTTTCATAGTCTCCTCACCTGGCCCAGTCTGCACTCCCTATCCCAGAAGGTCTCAGTGATGACTTGTTCCAGCATGGCTCCAAGGGTGCGCCTTTACACCTGCAGGAGGTGAGTGCTAGGGATAGCACAGCTCTCGGGTACAGCCAAGTCACCTGAGCATGTGGGTCTCAGATGGCTGAATGGTGAGCGTGCTCACGGAGCTGGGCTCAAACAGACCCTCACGCATCCAAGTACAGGGCAAGCGGGAAGGTGTGCAGCACTCCTAGGAAATGGAGCTTCTATGAGAAGAGGGTGTTTGCTTCTGGCCTTGTCATCTGCACTGTACCTGTCGATTCCCAGAGTGTGCACATTCTTTCTGGGTTATTCTCTGGGTTGTTTTGCTGTGTTCATTTCCCTCTCCCTCACACTGCTCACATGTCTTCATCCATCTCTCACTCATGGCTGGACACCTTATGTACTGCTGTGGGGTTGGGTGCAGTAAGCACACACTTGTAACACATGTCTCTGGGAAAGAGCAACAAAGTGCTGCCTTCCAACCAGGTTTCAGCCTCTAGGTAGAAGAAAAAAAAACTGAGCCCGTTTCTTCCCATTAGCAGATTGAGAGGGCCAGGGTTAATTATGAGACATTTCTATCCATACGACAAGCAGAACAAAGGCTTTTAGAAGCAGCTGGCAGAGCTGGGCATGGTGGTGTGCGCCTGTAATCCCAGCACTTGGAAGACTGTAGCAGGAGGCTTGCTGAGAGTTCAAGGCCATCCTGGGCTACATAGTGAGACCTTGTCTCAGAAAAAAAAAAAAGCAGTTGGCAGTCAGGCCAATGAGGGTGGGGTCACCTGGCAAAAACTTATTATTATTATTTTCTTTCTAATGTTCATTTAAGTGAATGTTCTCGGCACTAACTGATTAATAGTGCACTTCCCAGCCATCCCTTGAAATTCATTGAAGTTTGTCCTAAATTATTTCCAATGATTTGTAAACCCCATATTTCCTCAACTTTTGCCTTATCCTCTAATTCAAAGGAAATTACTTAATTCCATATAAAATGTAAATGCTATTAACACCCACAAATATCCAGGGTAAAGAGGAACTTTGATCAGTAGCAGTTTATTTTTATTAATTTATTTAGCAACTCTTTTCCAAACCCTGCTGTGAACCAGCATGGTGCTGGGTGTGCAGGCCTAGGAGGGACATAGTATTTGGGGACACAGCTGCTCCTTTCTCCCCCTTGAGCCTCCTTCTGAATCTGCCTTTCATGAATTAGCCGACACTCCTTCCTGGCTACATAATAAGACTTTATTGACTTCACGTTTTATCCCTTTGACCCTCACTTTTGATTAGATTTGTAAGGACAGTGTCATTAGCCAGGGCAGCCTTTTCAAAATCAAGACCTATTATTCTAAATTTTAAGAAGAAATCATTCAAGTCTGCAATGCATGAATGCATTTTAGTAAACCAAGCTTCTGGTTCTCATAATTCTGTTTTATCCTCTACAGATAAATTTTTTCTTAGTGCTGTTCTAGTAGGGAATGAAGTTTTTGTTTCAAGAATTGGAATAAAGCTAGATGTAGTGATACACATCTATAATTATAAGACTCTGGGAGGCTGAGGTGGTGGGATTGAAGTTTGAATCCCACCTGGGCCATTTAGAGAGACCCTGTCTCAAAATATTTAAAAAGGGATTGGGGATGTAGCTCAGTGCAAAGGCCCTGGATTCAATCCCCAGTATACCAGGGAGTGGGGTCTGAGGATATATCTCAGTGGTAGAGTGCTTACACAGTATGCATAAGTCCCTGGGTTCAATCCTCAGTACCACCAAAAAAAAGAAAAGACACTGAACAGCCAAAAAAGATCAGATACAGATCCCTGATGTCTACTCTGCTTGCTTGAGGTCCAAATATAACTGTCCCACTGATCTTTAAAGGAGAAAAAAGTTTGAAAACTCTGATAATTTATCTCGCCATACTAATACAATGTAACTGCTAGCAATCTGAGACATTCTGAATATGGTTATGAAAATCTGCATGTATCATTATCAAATGTCTCATTGATGATTTTTTTTTTGAGAGCAAACCACTGAGCTACATCCCCAGCCCTTTTTACATTCTATTTTTGGGACAGGATCTCACTGAGTGGTCCAGGCTGGCCTCAAATTTGCCATCCTCCTGTCTCAGCCTCCTAACTTTCTGAGATTATAAGCATGCACCACCACTCTCAGTTTAAATTTTCAAATAAATACCTACCGATGGGACTACATTATAGCAAATAATTGGCATACTCCAGAATTTATCGCAGGTACAAAAAGTAAAGAGTAAAATATATGTGGCTTTTTCATATTTTCACTCTCAATCAATTAAATTTTTCAGATATTTTATCTTCTTTAAAAAGAAATCTAGGAAGCTGAGTGTGGTGGTGCATGCCTGTAATCCCAGCACTCGGGAGGCTGAGGCAGGAGAATTGCTGTGAGTTTGAGACCAGCCTGGGCTACATAGTGAGTTCCAGGTCAGTCTCAACTACATAGTGAGACCCTGTCTCAAAAAACCAAAAAGAAATCTAGGGCCAGGGATTTAGCTCAGTGGTGCTGTCACCTGCCTAGCAAGCGCAAGGTCCTGAGTTCAATCCCCAGAAAGAAATCTGAAATCTCCTTGTTATTCATTTATCTACTTTTCCATTCCATCATTTTTCCCTAAATAAAATTCATTACCTTAAAAAACAGTCTAAGCTGCGAATGGTGGTCCTTGCCTACATTTAGAAGGCTAAGGCAGAAGAATTTCCAATCTGAAGCCAGCCTGGGATACACAGAAAAACTTTGTCTCATAAAACAAAACAAAACAAAAAAAACCCAAAACATCCTTGGCTAGCTAGTGATTGTGTAGACAAGTTTAATAACTTAATTTTTATTGTCTTGATTTCATGTATGCAATAAATGAAAATTATAAAACGCTCAAAACATTTAGGTAAACTTACAAGGAAGGAAAAAAAATCTAAGGCCCTTATGTCATAGGAGCACTCAGGGCAGAAGCCTCTTCTGAGGGTCCGGCTTTCCTCTCCCTCGGGGCTAGGCACTGTGGTTGGTGTGGACGAGAGTACTGCTTTCTCCTGGCCTGTATGTGACGGGTGCGGCAACGGGCGATTGGAACAAAGGCTGGAAGACAGGTAAGGCTGGCCCACAGCCCCAGGGTCAGATGGGCATGATAGCAAATCAGCCCCGGGGTCCCACAGCCCTGTCACCTCTGGGGGCTTCCCCAAGAGCCAGCCCCAGCTGAGCTGCAGGAAGAAGCCATGGTGCCGATGGGTTTTCTAACAGGGAGTTGTGCTGTTTTTACAGCTCCTCCTGGGTTTTTGCCCTCAGCTCCTTTACTATCAGTCAAAGGAAAAAAAAGAAAAACAGGGCATATGAACAAGTGAGACACACCTGGTGCCTGCACAGTGTTTCCTTTGCAGTGGTGCAGACTTTTCCAGAGACCAGGGAGCAACTACAGACCAGCTGTCCCTTCCCTGCCCAGTGCCCCTCCCCGCAGGTCACAGTTGGGGCTGGGTGTTCATGCAGTTTGTTCCTTTGGAAGCTCCCTGCCCTCCCAAGTGGACTTTGTCTTGTGATACAAAGAGCATGCTCGCTGCTTTCCTGCTTCCCCACTACCACCCTTTTTTCCAAACGGAATTGAACCAGGGACTTCACACCGAGCTGCATCTCCAGGGCCCCCCTTTTTTATTTTATATTTTGAGAATAGGATCTTGCTAAGTCACCAAGTTGCCCATGTGAAGCTCAAACTTGAGATCCTTCTACCTCCTCCTTGAGGAAATGGGATTACGAGTGTGCACCACCAACCACATCCAGCTCACTTATCTGCTTCAGAAGCAAGGAACAAATATCCCCTTGATGCCTTTTGGGTTAGTGGCCTTGTATATACTCAGATCATTGAATTGTGTAGAAGAGACCAGGGTGTGTGCATCCAATGGGAAGCAGTATGGGATCAAAGACCTGCTGGCCAATCACGGTTCCTCAGCCTCCCAGAGGGCTTTGTTTCGCTTCCTGAGAGGCTTGCTCCACCTAACATGTTAATGATACTTACCTTTCTGACTGCCCACGATCCCCAAACAGCTTTCTGGCTCGGTTGCATAAGCCAGCATTCATCCCTCAGTACAGGCCCAGTCCCTGGCTGATCTCAGGAATTTGGTTCTGAGCAAAACCCTCCTTTCTCAGCAAACACATGTTTAGAGGTATCTGTTTTCACCAGACCTCTTCTGTTGCATGCTCTCTGTTGCTTCTCTTCCATCTCCACACCCCAGAGGCGCCTTTTCCTGTGGGGATTGTTCCCGAGTGGTCACATCTCCCGTTCTCAAGAGGCACCTGCAGGTCTTCCTGGACTGCCCTACCAGGCCCCAGTGCAACGTGAAGGTCAAGGTAGGAGCCAAGGCACATGTGGTCTTCCCTGTGTGGGACTCGTGGCTGGACCAGAGCTCCTAGGTGCGCCTCTGGGAAAGGAGGGAGGCCCTCACTGAACACACTGTCCCTTTTATTTAAGACTCCAAGACTGAAGCTCTGATGAGGAGATGGGAAGTTTAGATTTAGCCTGTTAACTTTGAGGATGGGAGTTGAGCAGGAGCACTTACCGCACTGAGGTTTGACCCATCCTCCCTTCTCTATTATTGCAGCTGTTGCAGAGCAGTATTTCTTCACTGCTGAGGTTTGCCGCCTGCGAGGATGGGGTAAGGTCATGGGGCCCAGTCAGGTATGCATTCCCCTCTCGACCCCAAGGAAGCCCCCTCTGCCACGTGTGTTGAGTTTCAGCAAATCTCACCGTAGTGTTGCTCACATATGGAAACATGGATACAAATGCCCACTTGGATTAGTGAGAGAGAGCCTTTCCTCTTTGAAATGAAGTTATTTCCAGCTCAGCCTTGAAGTAGACACAGGAAAATGCTCCGGTGGCTTTGATTATGGTGGCACAGCCTGGAGACGAACCCCGCTGCCATGGTTTCAAAGTCATGGAACAAAATTACCTGAGACACATTTCAGTTTTTTGCTCCTGGATATTCTAGACCCTATTTGCCTGAAAACATTGCCACAACTCCTCATAGCTGGTTTGCCATAGGCTTAAGAGTTACTGCTGTAAGGCTTGGTAAAGCTAGTGTGCTCCTGTGAGAAACCAATCACTAAAGCATTTAATTTATGGGCCAAAGACAGTTTCTGCATTGTGAAATTTGATTCTCTTTAATGAGATCTCTGTACTTAAGATGGCACCTATGTTTTTTTGTTTTGTTTTGTTTTGTTTTATTTTGTTTTTTTTGGTACCGGGGCTCAGACTTGGAACCTTACACTTATGAAGCAGGTGGCAGAACCACTGAGCTAAATCCCTGGCCCGAGATGCCACCTGTCTTGTCAGAGCCATTTAAAAACATTGCAGGTGGCTTGTAGAATTACTAAACCCAGATAAGGTCACTAGGAACCCAACCACTGTGGGGGTGTCAGGACAGGAACCCAGGCTGAGGCATCTGTGACAGGGCCCACATCTCAGGAGCTGACTCAGGCCAGCCTGCCAGGATGTGGGGACAGGTAAGGCTGATCATCCCTAGTAGAACAGCTTTGACCCATTAAACAGGAATGTTTGGGGGGTTTTTTGTTGTTTTTTGTGGGGGGAGGTGAGACAGGGTCTCACTCTCTAGTTCAGACTGCCCTGGAACTCACTATGTAGCCCAGGCTGGTTTCAAACTCACAGCAATCCTCCTGTCTCAGCCTCCCGAGTGCTAGAATTACCAGTGCGCACCACCATGCCCTGCTAAACAGGAATCTTTCTAGTGGTCCTCATGGCCATGTGCAAGCTCTCATTCCACCCAGATGTGTGGTGGCTTGATCCATTCTCTGGGGCTCCTCCCCAAGGCCCTGCCTTGCAGAGCAGCAGTTGACCCTCTTTCATGTAGGCCAACACTATCAGAGTTTGGATTAACTTGGAATGTGGATAAATCCACAAGTCAGTCTTTGAGGATCATTGGCCTAAGCCACAGTTCTCAGCCCTGGCTCCCCAGCAGCATCACTTGCACATCTCTGAAGAGTTTCTATCCCCCATAGGATTAAGCCCACAGGCTTTAAAGCTCCTTGGCGACCCTGTGCTCCAGCTTGGAGCCTTCATCTGAGCTGCTGCTGCCACTGCACAAATAGGAATTGATGCTCAGACCAGGCTGTAGGCGGGCGCATATGCAAGTGCTTCCTGATTGTGCAAAAGTCAGCAGTCACCATGGCTAAGCACCAAGCTCACCACTCTTCTTGTGTGTTCCTGAGGCCCCCCGCCATCCCAGTGGGGCAAGATCCACCTTCTGCGGTTAGGGAGTGTGAGGCTCACCACAAGGACATCTCACAGAGGCAAAGTTGTTGTTAGCCCCCAGCTGGCAGAGTTGGTAGCTGGCCCAAATGAGGACTTAGAGAAGTTTCCATGTTGAATAGGTGATGAGGCAGCCATGCCTGTTGGCTGATTCCTTATTTCCTGCCTTTTGGCCACCCAAGGTAGATAGATAGGTCAGAGGTTTCTAAGGAGGGTGACCAGGTTGGACAAGTGCTACAGGTGGTAGATCAGGGACTTCAGGGACCAGACTGTGGAGAATGTTGAGGGAAAGCACTAGAAATATTCTTGAGAACTCCAAATGAATCCAAACCCACACTTAAACAAACTAAAACCAAGGACATCTGGGTGTGGCATACAGCTCACCTACTGATGCAGCTGCATAGTCTCTGGGTGAAAGCTGGGCACTGTAGGCTGGTGACCCTCTGGGTCCTTGCAGGCTCCCTGGAAGACAGCCTGGCTTCCTCCAGGAAGCCTCCAGCGATGGACAGTGTTTAGCATTGCCTGCTGATCCCAACCCTCGAGACCTGGAGAGCAGGAAGCCCTAGCAGGGATCCTCCCACCGCCCCTTGGTTTCCCACTGGCTGAGATGCCTTGTTCCTCCCACGCATTTAACTTTTCAACTAGAATGTTACCATAGGTAAAGCCCTGCTTATAAAGAGCTCCAGAGAAAGTACGTGTATTGTGTGTACGTGAGTACATGTGTACATGTGTCTCTGTGCATGCACACACATGCTCGTTTGTGTACATGTGCATACATATGTTATGTGAGGGGCATGTGTTGTGTGTCACAGCACCGGTTGTCATCTTTGTGGGTGCTCTGGTCTTAGAGCCCAGCCCAGTGGATCAATCGAAGGCACATCCCAAATCTAGAAATGCACATTTTAGGAAGCGCTTACCCTCCCCCAGCTTTACTTACCATGGCTAATCAGGCCTTTGCATATGACTTGGAAAAGAGTTGAGAGAAGATGGCCATCAAAGGCTTGCATGTAGACATAAACAGCAAGTTACCAGTCTGTGCTCTGTCGGTTTTGAGGGGTGGGAATGCACATTTACCAAAATCCAAAAGAATCAAATTAGGACTTTCCACAAGAACCATTCCCTTCAGCAAACGTACTATTTCTGGTTAGAGTATGTGAGCATCAATTTCATGCCTTTGCTGTTATGTGGTCAAGCTGCAGATATAAAAATAAAAGGATTGGCTATCATTCATATCATTTCTCAGTGGTAACATAATGGTGATATGGAATTTAGAGTTTGCTCCCATAACTTTCAGGAAAAAAAATTAAGGGGCTATATATATTGTAGCTTTTAAAGATAGAGACACATTTCGTATATACACAGATATACATTTGTAAAAATGGTGCACATGAGCTTGCTGGCACTGTTGTTGTAACCTCACCATCTTAATTTTCCCCAAATATAAAAGATGTATAATTTAAACTCCATTTATAGAAGATACAGCTAAATCTAACACTGTAAGTAGATTTTCCCCCCTAATACTAGGAATTAAAATTAGAACTTTCTCACTGGATTACACTTCCAGCCTATTATTTTTTAATTTTCATACAGGGTCTCACTAAGTTACTAAGTTGCCCAGGATGGGCCTGAACTTGGAATCCTTCTGCCTCTACCTCCCACAGAAATGTGCCACCACACCTGGCTCCGAAATTATTTTTTTGATGACTATTTTTGAAGTGAGAGTTCTGTACTTTTACCTCTGTGTAGCATAGGAGTGCCTGGGCCATATCTTCATGCTCATACAACATACAAGGCTAACTAAAAGTAAGAGACACCAAAGAATTACCTAGCTCTTCTATATCCTGACAGTGAATGGTGACCCCTTATTCTACAGAACGGTACGCTCCCTCCAGAGCGGCCACATGGATGAATGAGCAGCCATGGACTCACCATCCTGGCCACATGTGAGCATGCAGGAAGGTCCTCACCGCCACTGTCAGCTTCCTTATCTTCCTGCTCTGACTCTGACTCTCCCTTCTCTCCATTAAGCCGCCCTATGATATCTTATTCTTTTTTTATTTTTTTTTTTTTTTTTTTTTTTTTTTTTTAAACCGAAGAAGTCAAAAATCTTTACAAATCACATTAAAGAAGGCTAGGTAGGGCTGGGTATTTAGCTCAGTGGTTCTGCTGCCTGCCTCGCAAGCACAAGGACCCGAGTTCGATCCCCAGTACCCCAAAAAAGAAGGCTAGGTATTTCACACCGTGCCTGTATACCAGGTGGGAAAATGAAAGTATCATAGTGAGTTGGCATCAGAGTCATGTTCACATCTGGGCCGATCCCTGGTGTTTATTGCTACAAAACAAATCATCTCAAAACTTGGTGGATTTGACCTTTATTCTGCACACAGACCTGCAGTGCAGGCAGGACGCCGGGTGGACAGCCCATCTCTGCTCCACTGGGCATCAGTTGGTGCCCACGAGGGGGGCCTGGGCTCACAGAAGCCCCGCTCAGTCCCCAGCCAGGGCTCTGACTGGACTCCCTCATGGCCTGTGTCCGGGTGCCCAGAGCCACACAGAAGCCTGCATCTTTCTTAACCAAGCGTGGGACATTATTTGCGTCTCTTCCACCCTCTGTTCCGCAGGAATTAATCACTGAGGCCCTTTACTAGGAAGGGCACAGGAAGTCACAGACTGGGCCTGCTTTGGCCACATCACCTGACTGCTTCAGCTTCAGTGTCCTTGGACATGACATTAAGGACAGAAGGGAAGACTGTGAATATATACCAAGCAGGATGTTGTAGAGATCCATGTGGTGTCTCTCACAGAGAGACTGAGATGCCATTACCATCTGGAACTTAAGTCTCCCGGAAGGCTAGAGATACCCTTTATCCCAAGGTTTGAGCTTTTACGGTCAGACCCCACCCTCCAACACAAATGCTCTACAGTTTGATGTGTAGAGTACAGCCTTGTCAGGGATGGGATCCCCAGCCATACATCGCTTTTTCTCAGCTAGAGATGTAACTTGTCCAAGACTAAGAACAAGTTTAGTCTCATTACTACAACACAGAAACAGGCATTTCGCCCCGTCTGACTCGAGAACAAATGGGAGCCTGTTGAAGAGGGAAGTTTGGGGCAAAGTACCAGGAAATCCTTTGACCGGAAGTATTGCTAGATTGGAGAAGTGTCCAAAAGGAAGTGGGAGACAGCTGTGCACTGCACACCCAGCCCCAGCCTGCTCAGGATCTGGAACCCAGGCAAATCTTTTGTACATCTTGTCCCCCAGTTTCTTTCCTAGATCAGCTCGTCATGGCATCCACTAAAACACTGATATTTTACACAGTACTTACGTTAAAAATAAGATAAAGTATTTCCTTCATTTGGCAGCACTTTATTCCCCCGCCCTCCCCAAAACCTCACCATTTGAGCAGGGAAGGTCAGGGTCTGGGGAAAGGGCCGCTACTCTAGCTTGTCCTGTTTTGTTGGGAACAGAATGTCCAGGGCTAACTTTATTTCCTCTAACCAGCATGCCTTTATCCTGCAGAGTTATGAAGTGAAGAGTATCCTCGGAAAGGAGGTGGGGTTGCTAAATTGTTTTGTCCAGTCCATAACCACCCACCCAACCAGCTGCGTTGCACTGGAAGAAATTGAGCTTCTGCATGCAGGAGGAACTCTGGAGCAGCGCCTGCCCTGGCCCCTGGACCTGTGAACTTTGCAAGGGTGGGGGTAGAGTGGGGGCTGTTGGGGTAGTTATTTGTTAACTGTGGACAGAGCAAATGCATCTTATGGTCTTAAAATAAAAGTTTAAACTTTCCTGAGGCAAATTTAAGATGGTTTTGTAGATTCTAAATTAAAGTATCTCTCCTATTTTTTCATTACCTTTCTGTAAATTTAGGAATATGTTTCTAGAGGTCAACTCAGCCTGGCGTCTTTATTTTCTATTTATCTTAGGAAGTAATATCAATCTATCTGAAAGAATTATGTTGTGCAGTTGTAGCTTTAAAGTATTTAATTTTTTTATCATGATTTTCTTTGTAGTATTTGTTTTAACCACATGTCCCCCCACCCGCTGCCGCCAAGAATACTCTGAAAAACTTAAACCTGCGTCCCATATTGTGGTATGCTACAATAAATAAATGTCCAACCTAAGCATTTTTGCATTTCAGCATTCCTGAGAAACTGTTACCCATAAAGTGTACATTATTAGGTCCCGTCTACCACACGCCTATTTGATCGTTCCTGATAGTACAAACAGAGCAAAGATTACATAGACTTATCATTTGCTTTGCTGACAGAGATTTAAGTTACAAATCAATTATCTTTGAACACTAAGAGTTTTGTTTTCTTCCTTAGAGCAACATGACAGCCATGGTTAATTAATTGTATAATATATGCTTAGCTGCCAAGACCAAGATAAAATGCCTATTACCCCGTTTTCTTAAGGAAAAGGCACATGGCTTTGTTTGGATTAAGCCTGGAAACACTACTGCTGACAAGATAGCCAGTTGTACGTGGCTTTGGATTTGTCATTTTCATCTGCTATATGACAGTTTTGTCCTTACATTTGGGAAAGCTATTCCATGTCAGCGAGGCATAAAAGTGAAAGCAGAGTCACATGAAAGCTCGACATGATTAAGACAAGATTATGGGTCACCTGAGCCCTCCTCTGCCCTCTTACCCCTCAAGCAGCCATCTAAGGTTAGGGAGTTCTTGGGGTGTTCTCAGCAGGGTCCCAAATCCACCAGCTGCCCAACTCAATCTGGATCCTTTGTGGGGAGCACCTTCCGCTGGAAAGCTGCTACAGTAATTCAAGTCCCTAGTTGGGCTTCACGGACCTTCGCCAAGCCAAACAACATGTGGAGGTAGTGACTGGCACGCTTCAAGAGCAAGCAACCTTCGCCCCCTGGAAGTCCGTTCCCGCACACACCTGGTGCGGAGGTTGCAGGTGCTCGCCGCCCACCAGGTCCTGGATTGCGCCCTTCCCAGGCGGGTCCTTGGCGCGCCGGTGTACGAATCACTGCGAATACAGGAAGCAGGGGCGATTTTAAATGCTTTATTCTTACAAATACTGTAAAAATTAATATAAAAAATTGAGCATGCTCAGTCTTTTAAAAACCTTTTATCTACAATACAAAGAGTTTGTCTGGAAAGTCATTTTCTTTTTACAAATGTACCTTAGCTGCATCAACAGGAGTAAGATGTAGAAAAAGCTACCATTATAAAAATAATTTAAGGGGAAATAAACACGTATAGCTTCTCTCGCGGTTCAGTGGCGGTAAGTCCAAGCTGTAGGTTCCTTTCGCTCACTCGTCCCAAAGAAATCGCAGCCGGCGCCGGGCGGCTCTCGCGGCTCCGGGGCCGTCGGGGCTGAGGTATCGGTCGTTGGTGAGAGTCT